AGGGCAGGGGCAGGAGAAGGCAGCGACGCAGGCTCGTTATTCTCAACCCTACTGCTTTATTCAATGGTCGCTCATCCTACACAAGTACAAACACAACATGGCCCAAAAGGCTACAAAGTTATACAAAAAAAAAAAAAAAGGGAAAGAAAAAACCCCCAAACTTTATAGTATTGACTGTACAACAGGCAGTAAATTCTTTGCCTTTTCCAATGTGAACCTATTTAATCCAAACAGCATCACAGCCTCAGGCCTCCCTCTCTGCCTTGCAGTTTCCGGGGGGCTGATACTCAGTTGCTAACTTGAGCAGATTTGTAAAAGCAGAAGCACTTGCACCATTTCACAGGCTGGGGGACCGGAGGGGTAGGAGATTTTATTTATTTATTTATTTTTAAACCAAAACCCTTCAGGAAAGGCAAAAGGAATCATTTAAGGGGGCAGCTACAAACCAGTTCTTAGATCTCCAGCTTCATTTCTAACATGTATAATAGTTGGCTAGACAGAAGCCGTTGATTCTGCTGGTTGTTCAATTTGTGTATTTATGACGGAAGTTTAGTCTTCAACACTATGCAGAAATTAATCTGTTTGGGAAGTGGAATCAAATGACAATTCACTATTTTAGTCTAAGACAGGTTTTGTAATCTGGACTCCAGCTGTTCTGAAGATCCTGTGCTGACACCTAGAGACCGGGTGAAACGCTTCCCTTTCTTACTATACAGGGCTTCCAAAATAATTCGAGATTCACATGCTTGTCTGTACAGCAAGCTAAGCATTTAGAAATCAAGCAGCAGCCTGCTGACTGGTGAGAGAGAGGCTATAGCATCTTTCCTCCCATTTATCTGGAAGAGATGTCATATTTGCAGCCTTTAAATCAAAGCCATTTTTAAATAATTTCAATTAAATGCCAGGAAACTAGAAGCCCCACAGCAAAGGCTATCTATTGGCTAGGAACTGCACTCTCTCCTCTTAGGTTGCCTTCACTGCCAGGAATCTACCTCTCACTCCTCCTCACCCAGACCCATTATAAAAAAAGGTACAATATTTAGTTTGATGGGATTTAAGTTAAAAAATAAAAAGCTGTCCAGTCTTTTTGCTTTATCGTGAAGAGTTTGAGCTGGAGCGGCTGCGGTGGCGCCTTCGTCCAGGAGATCTGGATCTCGATCGCCGGCGAACAGGGGATCTGCGCCTAGGAGACCGGGACCTGGCGGAGAAGGAAAGAAAAAGCTTTTGTCAGGAGACAAGGGTAACAGGTTCCAGTAATCTGTCAGCCGATCTACCATCTTTTCAAAAGAAAAGTTCTGTAAAAGAGTTTCAGTAAATATAGCCAAATCTAGCGAGGAGAAAGGCAATCCAAACCTTCACTACACAGCAGGATTTTTTTTTTACACTTCAGAAAGTTGAAAGAATCTTTCATGTCCAAAGAACAGACAAGAACCTTGTCTTCTAGCTCAAGCAAAAGAACAAACTCCAGTTCATTCTACATCAGAGTCTCCCTCATCTGAAAGGATAATTTTGACTCCTGAAGTCAAAGTACAATGAGAGTCAGGGAAAGGATTTATGTAAGCCCTTTCAAACTAAGGGGACACTTCTCAAGTCTTAACTCTAAGGAAACAGTCAGGCTTCAAGCTCTTCAGTACCGCAATCAAATTGCACAGCCACCAGTATGACACCCAGGTTCCAGCAACAGAATTATCAAGAGAGCTTCCCAGGATAATAAAAGTTAACCCAGGGCCAAGATTAGGGAAGCAAGTAAACAAGGAGGAAACCACCAAAGCTAGCATTTGCCATACCTCAGTTAAAAAAAAAGTTTCAGAGGACAAATAGGTCGTAGAGCTTGCGCCATGTTAACTAGTTCTCATTTTCACACAGAAGGGGCTTCCAGCTCATAAGCTCTTCAGCAATCACCACGGGCTATTGTTTTTAATAGTGACAAGAACAGATTTCCAAGACAGAGAAGCCCAACTAGATGCCAGGAAGCCTCTAAGACTGTAATCATTATCTGAGCGTGTTCAGGCAGCCTTGAGTCGTATGACAGACACATACATGCATGTCAGGTCACATTCTGGGGCGGGTGTACTCCACTCGCCTGATGGAGGAAGGCTGCATTTTGGTCATGTGCCCATCATACAAACAAGGGAGAGAGGTGCAAAGGCTTTAGGAAAGAAAGCAGGAGCATGCTGCCAAAAAGCATTCTGCCAGCCAGAAGTCCATTCCGACATCACCTTGAGGCCTTATGCAGAAGGGACTCCAGGGATTGTTCCCTAGCTGAGTCTTTCAGAGGCGACATGTTGTTATACTGAGAAGGAAACATGAATTGTCACAGGTCTCACCTTCTCCTCATGCGAGGGGGTGACCTACGCCACATTGGTGGTGGTGGCAGCATCCTCCTGGGTGGGCTAAAACGTCTGGGAGGTGGTCTAGGCCGCGGTGCCAGAACAGCTGTGGCAGTGATCTCCTGACCATCAATTTGACCTGTTTAGGGAATCACAGATATAGGAAGAGATAATACTTTCCATCACTAACATCTACACACACCACTTCCAATGCAATTCACTGCTTTGTCACAAGCAAATGAAGTACGAATCAGCCTACACTCCTGTTTCTACCACCAATTCAAGAGTCGTGTTGACAAAGTCCACTTATATACCTGACTTCCTAAAAACCTAACATCCCAAACTGCAGTTCACATGTTATTCAGGAAGGATTTTTACAGAGATTAGGAAAACTTTGTCACTGTTTGTTTTCAGAAAACTCAGTTTTAATATTCCTGTCATTTAATGGATCTGTCCCAAACCACACAGAAGATAAGGCCATTTGGGCTGAAAGACAGTATTTAAGGAGATTAGTTACCCAAAGTCTTCCCCGCTAACCCATTTTCAGATCAACCCCATGAGTTCCAAAGTTTAAAAAGCCTCCAGCCTCTTTGCAGTATGTGATACCTACCCCCATCCATGTGTTTCAGGGCTTTCTCAGCATCATCAGGATTCTCAAACTCCACATAGGCATAACCTTTAGAGAGATGTGGATTTAGTCTGTCGACTGGCATGTCAATCATTTTTATCTTTCCATAAGTGGAAAAAATTTCCATGATGTGATCCTGCAGGAGAAAGAGCAAGTCTTAAGGACATACACCACACTTCCCTGACCAGGTCTGGCTGGCAGGGAACACTAAATTCAAGCTGTACGCAGCACAAAATTAACCTTAAATCAATGCCACCATCAGGGATAGATGTATTTCATTGGCTAGATGCAGACAGGAATCCGGATTACTGCTGCTTTCTCTGTTGCTGTCTATTCAGTTTTACAAAACCTTAAGGTCTAACGGCATTACTGCTTGTATGTCAAAACAGGCCAAACCCTCCAGGCTACAGAGAACCTACTAAGTGTAAAAATCAATAGCCTCTTAGGGACTTCAAAAGATTATTTATGCCTTCAGTCAAATACTAATTGTTAAAGATGCATTTTCTCAATACTAAATAAAAAAAATCATTAATTTTTTAGCACCCTAAACCTTTTTCCTTCTGTGAAGAGCTTTAAACTACATTCCAGGAAATTCAAGTCAGCCCAGCTCTCTTCAGATCCATTATCAAGACCTCCAGATGTCCTTAATGTCCTCCAAGGTCATATCACAGAAAGGTTTAAACTGGAAGGGACCTTTAAAGACCATCTAGCCCTACCCCTTCTCCTCAAGCAGGGTCATCTAAGGCAGGTTGCCCAGGAGCCTGTCCAGACGGCTTTTGAATAGCTCCAAGGATGGAGAGACTCCACAACCTCTCTGGGCAACCTGTGCCAGTGCTCAGTCACCCTCACAGGAAAAAAGTTTTTTCTTTTATTCAGATGGATCTTCCTGTGTTTCAGTCTGTGCCTGTTGCCTCTCGTCCTATCACTGAAAAGGGTCTGCTTCCATCTTCTTTACACCCTCCCTCCAGATATTTATACACACTGATAAGATTCCCCCTGAGCCTTCTCTTCTCCAGGCTGAACCGGCCCTGCTCTCTCCACCTTTCCTCACAGGAGAAATGCTCCAGTCCCTTCATCATCTCAGTAGCCCTTTGCTGCATCTGCTCCAGCAGCTCCAGGTCTCTCTCATACCGGGGAGCCCAGACCTGGACACAGCGCTCCAGGTGTGGCCTCGTCAGGGCTGAGCAGAGGGGAAGGATCACCTCCCTCAACCTCCTAGTAATGCTCTGCCTAATGCAGCCCAGGATACTGCTGGTCGCCTTTGCCCCAAGGGCCCACTGCTGGCTCATGGTCAACTGGTTGTCCACTAGGACCCCCAGGTCCTTCTCCGCAGAGCTGCTTTCCAGCAGGTCAGCCCCCAGCCTGTTCTGGGGCACGGGGTTATTTGTCCTCAAGAGCAAGATTCTGCACTTGCCTTTGTTGAACTTGATGAGGTTCCTCTCTGCCCATATTTCCAGTCTGTCAAGGTTCCCTTCAATGGCACACTCTGGCGAATCAGCCTCTCCCCTCAGTTTTGTATCATCAACAAACTTGCTGAGGGTACACTCTGTCCCTTCAGTCTAGGCCACTGATGAATAAGCTGAACAGGACTGGACTCAGTATTGACTCCTGGCGCAAATGGCTAGCTACAGGCCTCCAACTAGACTTTGCACCGCTGATCACAACCCTCCGAGCTCTGCCGTTCAGCCAGTTTTCAAACCACCTCACTGCCTGCTCATTTCTGCTGTTACGCTACTCAGACAGCCTCCCTCTCCCTCCTAGTAACACAAGACACTAGGTCTGTGACATTGACAAAGTAGACAGGTCTTTTAGCACTACACAAGCCCCCAAGCCTGCATTGTGTTCAACTCACTAAAACTACCAAAATGTCCCTCAATCACCTATTTGGTGACAAAGCAAGAATTTCCAACATCAATACCTTGACAGCACTCTAGCAACAAAAAGGTTTTGAGGATGCAAAAGAGACAGGAAAAAACAAACAAACAAACAAACAACTCCCACCCCCAACAACAAACCTCAAAATCACTCCCCTGCCCAGAGGCATCATCACAAAGATATGGAAGCTTGATGTTACAGGGGACTGCGCGTTTACCTTGGTCACATTTCTGGTGAGCCTTCCAACATGCACTTTTGTAGGTCTGGGTGAGGGGCTCCGCCTCTTCCGCTCTTTCTCATCTCTCTTGGGTGGCTTAGATCTGATTTTGACAACACAAAATATTGTCTAGGAACATGCAAGACAAAAACTAGAAGCCAGTCCCTATCACATAATGAAAAAAAGTACCATTTCTCATGGGGTGCGGGGGGAGCAGAGGGGAAGGCATCTTTTTCCTTAAAGAAGTTACAGGTTAAATGTTCCAAAGTAATGGAGGGGCAGTTTCCACTTGGAAACATCAAGACTCACACCTCTCTCTTCCGTTTTTGCTTTAGAACCTCTCAGAATTTTAGAGTGCCTTGTTTTTGCGAGTTCTCAACCTTACCACAATTAGGGTAACAAATGAGAAATTTAATGGACATTTCTTCAAAGTTGTTGGCCACAGTCATAGAATTTTACATTTATTGAAACAACAAAGACTACTAACATCCTTTGCCTTGACAATGAAAGAGGCAAAATGCAGACAGAAGCACAAAACCAGGAAATGTATAGATCCAATGACTTGTGTTTCTGTGTTTTCTGTTCATTAGAAAGGGCCACAAACCTCACAGCTACGAAACTATTTAAGTAGCTGCATGTTGCATTTTTTTTTTGCAGTTTTAAAAAATTATATTCTAGAAGATTTTTTTAAATTCACTATGTAGAAAAATTTGTATTTATGCTTCCTCCCAATTTTACTCTCCATAAAATGAGGGATATACTCAAAACACAATGGATTATAACACTTTAATAGATTTTAATCAACCTTCAGCACCTTATTCACAGAATTATTCAAAGGAAAAACTGTACGGGCATATTAAGATAGTGTGGTTTCTACCCTTACAAAATATGCTTCCTTACGTTTCCCCCCTCCGTACCTATAGAAAAAATACACACACACATACACATACATGCACACATATCATTTTAGCCCTAACTTCTCTTTTGGTATTTATGGGGTACATTTATGGGACTGGAATTTATGGGGTACACACAGTGTTTTACACTCATCTAGCACTCATTTACCTTCACACTTGTGGTCAAACGCTGACTAAAATTGCCTATGCAAAATACAATAGGTAACAAACACCCTTAAAAAACAACAACTTTGATCTCCCTCCCTACAGGGCATGTGTTTCAACTGTAAACATAAGGGTACCCCATTCTAATAAAATTCAGATCTCTATGTCACTGAGAAAGCAGAGAGTTTTCTGAGAAATTTCTGCTCTGACTGCAATCTTGTGTTCTCCATGGAAATTAAACTGCTACTTGCTGATTCTCAGAAGACAAATCAAACTCACTTGGAGCGGGAGCGTCTCCTGTTGTCATGTCTCCGTCGAGATGGACTCGGGGATCCAGAGGAGCTGCTGGAACTGGAACTGCGAGAGGTGCTAGAGCTCCCAGATCGGCTTGAGGCAGAAGAAGAACTAGAACCACTGCTTGAACCAGTGCTGGAACTGGACCCTGAACTAGAAGTTGAGCTGGAGCGGGATCTGTTGGGGAAAAAGCAAGAGTGGAATACCAAAAAAAACTTCTCCTGATGATTACAGAGAAAGGAATTGTGAATTACAACAATGACTACTGACTCTCATGGTTCATTAGTTCAGCCAAAGGAAGTTCATACCTCACAAAAATAAAACCCCTTAAATTAGAAAAAAAAACTTCACTGTGACTAACAAGATGCAGGCTTTAAATAAGTCCATGACATGGGGAACACGTACCAGAAATCAGGTTGGTAGTTCCTACAAATGCTGTAAGGTGCTACTACCTGCGCTATTACTGAGAAGCGGTAAAGAAAAAGTAACTACCTGGTACTGCTGCTCCCACTGGAAGCACTGCGCCTTTTGCGTGTCTTGTCCCGACCACGATCCTTCTCACTTGATTCCTTGGTGGCTCCTTTATCCTTGGACCGGTCCTTTGATTTGTCTTCAGACCTATCCTTGCGCTTGGTTGGTGAGGGAGCCCTTCAAGAACAAATTGCAAAAGACATACTTTAAAAAAAAAAACAACCCTCAAACAAGCAAATAAAAAAAAAAACCCAGAAAAGCAACACAACACACTGAACGTCAATTGTTACTCAAGATCACCGTAACTGCAGAGGTAAAGCATAAGGCAAGTTCAGGCTTTTTAGAAAAAGGAAAACATTTTACATTACAGAGCAGCTTTCAGAAAGACAGCTGTAGCATACAGAAATGCTTGTATACAGAAATTCTCACAGGAAGTGGTACATTTCCAATTCCTCACCCTCACTGGGAGAACCCTGGTACCCTGCAACATCCCCAGTTTTGTTAGGCCTAGAAAATTCGGACAGAATGATTACCTAGTGTTGGATTTTTTATTATTTTCTTTGAGTCCTAGCAAACTCTTCTTTTTCATTCCTGATAACTCCATTTCCCCTTCGGAGGCGTCCAAAGCAGCACCGAATGGGCCTCACTTATCTCAAATATCACTTCTAACTCCTTGATTCTGAGAACCGATCCCTAATCGAGTGCAATATACTCCAAAGAGCAGCCTAGTGACAAGATAAAAGGTTTAGAAACAAGAAATTAATAGAATGGCATAAAACAACAAACCTACTTTGCAACAATGGCAGCACACTGAGGGTCATCTAACTTCTACAGAGTACTTTGATTGCACATTGTTACACAGTAATTACAGCCAAGCTCTGTGCCTGCTCACAGTGGCAATGCATGTCTCATGCAAAAGTTTGTATATATGTTTCAAACTATCATTTGACATTCATAGAAGTATAAAGGATCCTCATTATCTAACCAAAAAGAATGGCAGATAGAGGGCAAGCATCTTCTCCGAAAGATGTACATATAGCTCGTGCCTCTTGACAACTGCCTTGTCTTCAGAGGAGTAATCACTGGTTATCTCCCAAGTCAATTTGTGCCATATATAGCATATATTCGTCAAGAAGAAAGGGTCACTGAGAACAAAATATCCCACTCAATTCTGGCTGCTTTCAGTGTCAGCAAGCTACTTGCAAAGCTCTGTGTGCCTTGGAAAGAACAAAATAAAGTGTTGCTGCACTGCTGCAACAGCAGACCGCTTTAATTTCTTAGAGAAAAGCCCAATTCTGATCTCATCTAGCCCCAATGAGTTTCTTATTTACTCTAGATGCAAAAGGACATCCCAGTAATTAATCCTGAAATACTGGACATTAACTGAATTCCAGGTATTTTCCATGAGAGGGCTGTATCCATTACATATATTATGATACCTAAACATCTTTTTACATTTTGACTATTCCACCTGGACTGCTTAAGATTTGAATTACAAAGATGCCTCCAGCATATGATTTAATAGCCACTAAAAGAATGTGGTGGGTTTGATTTGGTGTAACACCTATTATCTACCAATGAATGAAACATTCAGGAAATGAAAGAGTAGAAACAAGCGTCTCTGCACTGCCAACTTCATCAGAAGTGGCTTAATACATTCACAGCATGGCATGAGGTTGGAAGCATCTCCAAAAAGGTACATGCATCACAGGCAAAATTCATTAAGATAAGAAAAACTCTCCAGCTTACAGTACACAACAGTCTTGTTGCTTCTCTGCTTCTGGTTTCTGACTTCGCTAATCACTACTGTAATTCCTTAAACTACAGTCATATTTGCTTTGGGAAGAGACATTTCTGACTCAGCTTTCCTGATTTCAGCTTCACAGTTTTTCCTTAACACCAAAGACGTTTCCTTAAAAGTTCCAAAGCAACACAAATCAGTGTTCCCAAGTCCAGCTCTCTGCAGCTTGCAGACGTCAAGACACACCAGTGTCTTTTCACAGGAAGAGCAGAAAAAACACAACACAAACATGAAACTGGCAGGGCTCACAGAGAGGAAATATCTTCTAAAATCAATAGTTTTCACAAAGCAGTCCCTGGGCTATTTGACAGGTGCTGCAAAGGTGACTAACAAAAGCAAGCCTGCGTATGCCATGAAGCTGTACAGACATTTCTAAACAGCTCTGTGCCACTAGTGCAAAGTGTGAACGGGCCATTGTTCAAGAATCGAAAACCACTGCATCAGACCAACTGACTCGCTTGAAAGAAAAGAACAGACAAGTTTCTGGACTCATAGGACCAAAAAGCTCGACCATTTTGCTTTCCCACCTTCCTTCTCCTAAATACACCACAGCCAGGCTAGTATTATTTCTTCCTACAAGCCAACTTCTCTTATTTCCTTGGCTATTGGCTAAAACATGCAAAACTACCTATTATCCTTTGATAGCTGCCTCCAGTTTCACCCTTACTGGAAGGGGCAAAGAGAGAGAGCACAGATGAGGAGTATTGCATGCTTTGCTGACATCCATCTTGCTACTGGAGCAGCAGGAAAGGCTACCGTTAAACACTACTACTCTGGCATCACTCCTCAGCGCTTTTCTCTGAATAGGCACGTACCAGACAAATTAGCCATGTGATGCTCATACTTTGACTGAACCTTTATATGATGGTATATGCAGCATTTAAGCATTTACAGCCTCCAAACTAACAGGTGTTTGCCCTCCATCAACACGTATGCACCTTTCTCAAGAATGCTACTTGCCTAACCTACTTCAGTTGGAAATCTCAGTCTAAGACAGCCAGCCTCTAGGCACTTTCACTCGCATGTGTTCAGACATTCACCAGGTGACACCTCTGTGTGAAAATAATAAAATAATGTCTACACACAAGGGTGTATAAGAAGAGATAGCATTTGTAAGCAACACGCTTCTTTCCCGAGATAAGAAAACCCTTACTTCCTAACAAGCTAATGTTTTTGCAGCACCCACCCCAAAACAAAAAGCCTGAGTGCAAGCTACACAGACCATACATTCATTTCACACACACCTCTCTGCTTTAGAGTTGGTTTGCAGAGACCTGCACTCTTAGAGAGCTGCAATTCTGTAGCAAAGGAAGCAAACTCAACTCTCCCCCAGACTTCCTGCACCACCACAGGCAAGTCTCTTAATGGCCATTTGCTTCAGATCCTCATTTGCAAAACGGGGAAAAGGTTTCCTCATGTGAGGAGAGGGTTCAACGCTTGGCAGTTCTTTGCAAAGTTACGGCCACTCGCCCAAGCTAACTACAGCGAGTGAGGCCGGAGGAGCGCAGGGGCAGCCAGCTCCACGTCCCGGTTCGCACACCATGGGGTACGTTACGGCGCCGGGCAGACCGAGGGCTTGTCGCTGCTGACCGCACCGTACGTGTTGCCATACTACGAGCGAAGCCAGGGCGCAGGCTGAGGAACAGGGAGAGAAAAGCACAGACCAAGCACAGAGTCGGTTCAGAGGCAGAGCCCGCACCCCGGGGCCCGCGCCGCCCG